AAAGACATATTCTTTTGTGTCTTGTCTTTATAATGGTAATCCATATTTGCCTCCCAGGCTTGGAGGAATCTGTGCCTGTCTGAATGCTGTCTTGGGAATCTGTCTGTGAGTGAGTGAGTGTCCATCCCTGACAAAGAGCTTTGCTCTGTATTTGTTGAACAGCACACACACAAATCACATGGAGAAGGAATGAGATACTTTACAGAAATCTTTAACAGAGTTTTAGAAGGGATTATGTCACTGTTTACAGATGACCCAGACATCAAACAACACAACAAGCATTATTGTTTATGAGCTGGTATCCACAAGCAGATTTCATTTTAGAAGATTACTTTCAACTTCATCGGCAAATGCTACACATGCATTGTTCTAGATCAGGGACAGGGAAGAGTCCATAATTTAAGATTGCATTGGAAACCCAAGGCAAATAATATTGATTATTCCATTGTCCTCTTAAAACCAGGTTAGGCAAACAGGCTGTGACCACAGAAGGGTAGTAGTCTTAAGTCTTAAGTGACCTCTGGGTGTATGATTAACTCTGGCTGTGAGACTGAACAAAGTTCTAGTTCCTTAGCATAAAATATGTTTATCATGATGCACCACCACAACCCAGCCCTCCTGTCTGCTTGCAGATGATGCACAAAGCTGTGGTGCAAGTAGACGAGGCAGGGACCAGTGCAGCTGCCGCCACAGGATCGGTCATGATGCTCAGATCTGCTCGACCAAGCTCTATGAAGACAGAATTCAACAGGCCCTTTTTGATAGCCATTATGAGTGATATGAATCTCCTTTTTCTTGGCAAAGTGGTCCAGCCCTGAGGTAGGACTCCCTCTGAAACCTGCAAGCTTACGCAGAGGGAGCCAGGCACATATTACACAGTCTGTTCATTTCTTGGTAGTTAATGGTTTGCACAACGTAGATTGATCAACATGGTGTCGTAAATACTAAGATCAATATACTGATGACTTCTTCTTTGATCACAGTTGCAAGATGTCTTCTTGCCCTCATCTTTCATCAGTGATTGATACTGATCCTAAAGAGAGCAGTTGATTTCTCCAAGGTCCCAACACCATAGTTGTGTCGTAGTCATTCTCAGATACCACCCATTTGTGCTCAGTCTAGCACTATAAAGCTCTATAAGAGACTGGGCACATAGATAAAGGCTAGCAGGAATCACATTCTTAAACCTGGTCTTCCACCTCAGTTCGTCATGGTTGGGCAGAAGTTCTGAAATGGCACTAATTGCTACGTAACATGGGAAGGACAATGCTCCTCTCCGGGCCTTTCTTTCTTTGTGTATCTGATGAAGGATCAGAACAAGAAGCCCATCCAGCGATCTGTGAAATTGTTACACAAGGTCAGCTGCTCTATGCCAGCTAACCTTGCATATATCAGCCTTGGTTGATGTAAGAACTCAGTTTAGTAGCATTCTTGAGCATCAGGGTTGAAGTGAATCACCACGAACAAAGGGACCACCGCTGGCTGCGGTGGGATAATAGAGGTCTATTGCAAACAGTAGAACATGGATTGCCCACTGGCTTGTTGATTTTGACCTTGGCAATAGCAATAAAACGTTTTGCAAAGACTTGGTCTCATTGTCCTGATGGAGATAACCCTGGGGATACTGACATTAGCTGTGTTCCAAAGCTGGTGCTTGGAGCTTCTCCCAACACAATACCTCATGATGCAAGATGTCACCATCGTTCCTGTGTGACTGACAGGGAGAGGAAGCCTTGCTGAGGTTTATGCGGCTTATCCATCACATAGCTTGCACACATTAGAGCCAAGAGTAATGCTATATTAGTTATTCCCTCATCGGTGCAGTCAATCACCTGACAGGAAGCAACTGAAGAGCTTCTTTTGGTTCATGGCTTGAGGTTATAGCTCATCACAGTGAGGAAGGCACTGTGGCAGCAGAAGAGTGAGGCTGCCTGCTCACATCTGAGAGTATCAGGAAACAGAGGCGGAACAGAAAACAAGGCCAGGCTTTTAGCCCCAAGGTGCACCCCTCAGATATCCACTTCCTTTATCTAGGCCCCATGTCCCAAATGTTCCCCCAGCTCTCAAAACAGCACTACCCCACGGTGACCAAGTGTTCAGGCACATATAGGGAACATTTCACATCTAAACCATAACAGGTGGAAAGTATGACCCCACAGCTACCCTCGGCTTTCAGTTCTGCTGGGGAGGTAAAAGGAAGGCAGAGTACAGGTGTGTATGTGAGTCTCAGCACCTTGGACTGACATGAATGAGTTCCCACTTGTCCTCTGTGGAAGAGGGAATTTGGCAGGGAGCTCCCCTTTTCTAAGGAAAAGGGGAGTGGGGAGGGGGAACGAGAGAGGGTAGGACTGAGAGGGGTGGAGGAAGAGGGCTGCAAGGATATAAAGTGAATAAATAAACGAGAAAAGAAAAGAGTGAATTTGACACATTAAAGAGCAGGTGAGTGAATGGGTGAGCAAATTGTCCCCTGGTTAGCTGCTTCCCATCCCCCACCCCCAATCAGAGCATCTGCCCACCCCACCCTGCATATCATTACCATGGTATCCCGTGAGGCTGTGCTCAGTGCTCTGATCCATGGATCATATTGAAGAGGGGCGTTCACTGGAAATAACAAGGTGTATGTTAATCAAGGTTCTCTAAAGAAACAGGAGAGAGAGAGAAAAAGAGAGAGGGAATGATTTATTAGAGATTTACAGGGTACAGTCCTGGTAGTCTAGCAAGAACTGCCTCACACTGCAGAGGCTGGGAATCTAGTAGTTCTTTAACCCATGAGAGCCTGGGTGTCTCTGCAGTTCTAATCTAGCATGGAAGACCTGGAGGACTCCTTGAAAGCAGCTGGTCATCATCAGTCGACATTAGAACCCTTAAAAAGCTGGTTCTGATATAGGCGAAGGAGTGCCGTAGCTACAGGACTGACACACCAGTGAGGGTGAGGGAAAGCAGGCAAAAAGCAAAGTTTTTCTTCTCCCTGTCCTTGTATCTGGGCTGCCAGCATAAGATGTGGCTTAGATTTAGGGTGGGTCTTCTTGCTTCAGACAATCTCACCAAGAAAAGTCATCACAGGAGTACCCAGCAGCTTGGGTTTTAGTCGATTCCAGGTGCAGTCAATTTGACAACCATGGTTAGATCTCACATGAGTTCAAAACCTTACTTGAAAAGAAAAAAATAAATAAAAGGTTTAGGGTGTGTGTGGGGGGGGGGGGGTCCTGAAGAAGCCAGACTGAACCACTGTCATGGTTTCTAGGTCCTCTACAAGAACAGTATGTGTTCTTTAATCACTGAGCCATCCCTCTTGCTCCTTAGGAAGCCTTTAGTTTTGACTTCCCCCCTACAGCACTAAGAACTTCTATGCGCCAGTCTGCTCTGGGCCCTTCTCATTTGCTATCACGTTTATTCCTCACTACCCAGCAAGGTCTGTGACTGCCTCTCCTTTACTCTAAGAAATAGCTGGTGACAGTGAAGGCCCAGAATCTGAGGCCTCGCATTATGTACTGGCTTGCAGCCGTGCACAAGGCTCTGGCCAGATCCAGACATCTTGTGGGGTCATCCCAGCCTCTCATGCCTTTCTCTTGCATAATGTCTAGTCTTTCTTGGCAAATTGTGTCTCCCCCTGTTGGCCCAGTCTGTTGGAGATCAAAGAGGAGTCCTATCTCAGGGTCATGTAGGAGACTAAGGTTCAGAATGTTTGAAAGGTCACTTAACAAACAGACACAAAGCAGCCACTGCGCACGGGCCTAGTGGCGGGGGAGCAGCGTGGGGGACCTCTATTGTATGTTACATGTCAATATTGTCTTAGAGCTTTCGAAAAGGTATTGAACTCAGTTGCCACAGGATCCTGGGATGTTCAGAATAGCATCTCAGAGAGATGAACTGAATTGAAGGTTTTTGCCAAAGAGCAACATGGAACTGGCCTTGAAGAAGGAATGATGCTTCAGTAGACAGCAAATTTTGGAACAGGTAGGGGACTTCCAGACAGAGGGACCGGCTGGAGGTGAGCAGAAATTGACAAGGTGTGGCACAAGGGAAAGTACAGAGGCTAGCCAGGAGCTAGCCAGGGGAACGTGGAGGAAAACATGGAAAAAGGAAGTGGCTGTGCTGGCTGCTTGGGAACAAAAGCCTCAGACACATGATCAGATTTTTTTTTCCCTAATGTCTCTCATAAATGACACTACAGTGTGACAATGTCCCTGAACCGTTTTTTGACCTTCATTGGCCCTCTAGGGGTGCTCTCCTTTCTTCTTGAAGGCTCCATCCGTCCCTTACCCACCAGGGAAGCATGGTGCACTCGTTTTTAGCCTCCTGGGACACCTATGCATGCACCCACAGACACCTGTGTTGTATGCTCTCCCATGCACATATACACAAACATAAATAAATGAAACAAATAATTCGATAAATAAGAATACATCTTTCTGGCTCAAGCCTAGGAATTGGGGTGTTAACGGCAAGGGCCCTAAAGCTCTCCCTTCAGACCTGGTTGTAAACATGGTGTTCCCTGGACTTAACAGGCAGAGCTATGCAATCAGCTCACCTTGCCACCCAACCACTCAGACCAAAGGATACCACAACCATCCGCGAAGTGCTGTGCTTCCTTTCTCAGTGCCCATGTCGACTCTTATCGCCATCAGAGAGCTAAGTTCCCAGGGAGGCTTTGGTTCCTGAAATTGCTCCACTAGTCACTTCAAATCGTGTCTCGCTTTGGAAACTGCCTACCCAGCTGTGTAATTGCTCATCCTGCATGCCACTCGCCAAGCCCCGCTTCAAGCTCACACTGACATCTCAAGGACTGAAGGTCATCAGGACCCACCACACAGCTGTGCTGAGCTGTCCCTGAAAGCCAGTGATCTGACCCTGAGTGGAACTATGAACTTAGGACAGTGGGGACATTCTAACTTGAGCATGTGCCCTGACTTTTGAGGCACCTTTTGTGAGGTCTCAGATTAGCATTTGAGACTGCTTGATCTTAAGCAGTTAAGATCAAGTTAAGAGATGTGTTAGAAGAGATAGTAATGCCGTTGACATAGCATGGTGGGGGCTCTGAAGAACATTCAGTGTGACTGGACAAAGTAAGTGTTCCCTCTTACAGGTTTCAGATGGCATGGGGAGATCACACGCCACAGGGTTGGTGAGTAGCCCTGCAGCCGGGTTGCCTGTGGTTCCCCAGACAGGAGGGACAGGCATCTCAGGCTTTAGGTGGTGTGTATCCAGTATGCCAGATGTGTTGCCTGTAGCTCCTGATTGCTGGGTGCCTTGTAAAACTTCCTTTGGGGGGAAAGCGGATTACAGATTCGAAAGCAGACTTTCTAGGTCAGCAGTGGGAATTGCAGGAGAAGCCATGAGAACTAAGAGAGGAAGAACCTATTGTTGGTTAGCACAGTCCAAAAACAAACAAACAAACAAACAAACAAACAAACAAAAAAACCCCTAGCCCAAACCTAAGCTCTTTTTTTCTGAACCTGCCAATTCCATTTGGAGGGAGCAGGGATGAGCAAGAAGCACCAGTTTGGATGATCAGGAGCCCATATATTCCCCCACAGAAAAGAGGGCAAGTCACGGAACCACAGGCAAAAGTGCTCAGTGTAGTGGGGGTGGGGGCGGGCTTGGGTGAGTCAGAAGAGAGGCCAGCCTGGATATATTTGTTGTTTTCCTTGTTGCTGGGTCTCAATTCCAGACAGCAGATACTTGAAAGTAAAGGGTTTTATATGTTGGCTCTTGGCTTCATGGCAGGAAAGTACAGTGGCAGGACCAGTTTAAATCTGTGATAAGTGTGGGTATCATCTTGTTCTATCTGGAGAATCAGGAAACAGAGATCTTAGCAAGAACACTCTCCAGCTATCACCTTCCAGTGCACAGCTTTGGTTAAAAATTGGCCACTGGATTCCCAAAGCACTATCACCACCTGGAGGACAAGAATTGAACCCATCAGAAGTGGCTGCATTGTCAGGGTTCTAGGTTGTCTCCATGGATAGTCCTTGGTTGGAGTATGAGTCTCTGGGAAGTTCCCTGTGTTCAAATTATCTTGTTCTGTTGCTTGGGGAGGGGCATGCATGCAGAAAGGGGAGGAGGGAGGGGCTTATGGGGGGATACAAAATGAATAAAGTGTAATTAATAAAAGTTAAAAAAAATAAATAAAAATAAAAAAGAAAATAAAAAATAGAATTGAACCCACTGAACTTCTGGGGATCACATTCAAACTGTAACATTGGACCAAAACCAAGCAGGGAAGAGTGAAAGATGTAACTGTCTTTTTGTAGTTCAAGCCTGCGGCAATTTTCCTGCCTACCACCCACATTTGCCCCATTGAAATGAAACTGATAGGTGATCTAATGAAGTGATAACTGATGCTCTCACAGGAAAGCCACAGCTCTAATGAAGGGTCTCTTTAACTCATTGAGGAAGACCTCATGATTGTGGGGAGTTGTAACATTGCCTTATAGAGCTAGATTATCTTGGGCTATTATGTAGTTCCCACAGATACCCATTCATTACTGAACGTATTAAGTGAATGGGCTATAAAGTTTCACGTGTCAGGGTTCTCCACAGGAAAAAAAGTTATAGACTGAATCTATATAGCGAGAAAGGACATTTATTAGAAGGGCTTACAGGCTATGGTCCAGGTATTCTAAGCATAGATGTCTACCAACAGCAGGTCTAAGAATCTAGTAGTTGTGCAGTTCATGAGGCTGGGTGTCTCGGCTTGTTTCAGAATCCCGGAATTATGCCCTAATTCCAGTGAAGGAATAAACTTGTCGGCAAGAGCAAGTAAGCAAAGAGAGGGAGCTTTTTTCCTTTGTATCCTTTATACAGGCTGCCAGCAGAAGTGTGATGTATCTTCCTCCTTCAAATTATCTAATTAAGAACAAAATTAAATGATTTCTTGGAGAGATCAGGGTGTACCCAGATGCTTGAGTTTTAGTTGATTCTAGATGTGGTCAAGTTGACAACCAGGAATATCCATTACCAGTCCGTTATTTGTCAACTTGACACGCAATCAGATCTCCAAATGAAAGCAGACGCCAGGTCATAATTATGCCTAACATGGTATAACTATACCACATGTAATTGGAAACCCATTACGTATTTAATCATGTCATAATTATGCCTAACATGATATAACTATCCTTTGTATAGCCACAAACAGTACAAATTATAGAACAGATAGCAATGTCCCTTGTGGAACATTATCTTCGTATCTCAAACATAAGTATATTTTCAACTGATATTCTCTTAATTGATGTTACATTACATGATAAAGAAATTGATGAGAGAAAACACAAATATCTGTACAAATGCATTCTTTCAAACAATGGCACAAACACTCATGTTTATCATAATCCTCATTTCTGCAACTGGTCACATGACCTTAGCTAGTGTTTTCCTCTACTACTCATGCTGCACTTGCCCCACTCTCAGCAGGTCTTGGCTCTTTTCCTGGAGGAGTGACCCAAACTTTCATTCCTGAAGGGTCTGTGTCCTTTGTCATTGTGACTGGATTAGGCTGTTGTAGTTTCCCATTGCCTCTAACACGACATGGTAGCACCCTAACGGATCTCCTGTATTCCAGACATAGTCTTTCTGACCTCCACTGTGGAAATGCAATCCAAAAGTCCCCTTGGTAATCTTGGACAATCACCACTCCTTTCATTGCCTATTTGCTCCAGGGCATCAAAAGGCCAAAGTGGCCGGGAGAAGTCTAAGGTTCCAGTTCAATGGAATGTTTGTTCCGTCTCCTGGCAGGAGCACTCCCTGCTCTGGAACCAAAATTTCTAGGCTATTAGAACTGAAAGTCATGGGAATAGGAAGCAACTTTTTTACTAATGGGTTGCTATAAGTAATATTGAGTGGAACTATTTGGTTTTTACACCTTGAGTCCAGGACCTGTGTATCCTGGATATAAGAGAAACTATATATGTTGGATGCTGATTCAAAGTATGTGTTTTATCTGAAGAACCCTGCCCCAGCCCTCCAGGATGATGCCACTCAATTGTCACTATAGCTGTTTCTTTGAAAGGCCATTCATTCCATCATTTTCCCATAACAGCTGCTTGAGGATGGTAGGGAACATGAAAAGACCAGATAATCTCATGATCATGGGCCCACTGCTGTGCTTTGATGGCTGTGAAGTGAGTTCCCTGGTCAGAAGCAATACTGTGTGGCATACCATGACATAAAGCATTCTGAAAATCTATTTATGGTGATTTTGGCAGACACATTACATGCAGGAAAGGCAAATCCATAACCAGAATATGTATCTGCCCCAGTTGTCCTTTCCGAGGAGGAAGTGGCCCATGTAGTCAATCTGCCTCAGATTGCTGACTTGACTCCCAGGAAAGGGTGCCATGTCTGGGTCTCAGTGTTGGTCTCTGCTGCTGGCATATCTGGCAGCTGTAGCCAGATCAAACTTTCTGAGTCCACAGATAACCCCCATCTCTGTCAGCATGGCCACTTTGTTCATAGAGCCACTGCGTAATGACAGAGATGGCTGGGGAAAGAAGCTGACTGTCCACAGAACAGTTTAAGACTTATTATCTATCCACTTAATTACTGACCTCCTCTTCATCTGAAATGAGTGTTCATCTTAGACATAAGCATCTTCACATCTTTTTCCCATTTAGAGGGATCAATCCACACACTCCTTCCTCAGATATCTTTCTCACCAATTTTTCCAGTCATGCCCCTTCAAGACCCTGATCATCCAGCCAAACAACTGGCTGCAGCCCATGCACCAGTGAGCAATCCCACAACAGAGGTGTTTGAGGGAAGAGAAAGTGAAGTAGAGCAGGGAAAAGAAGAAGGTTTGGCCTTTGCCAGGAAAACTTGATGATGAGTACTGCATGAGGCACGGAGGGAAGGCAAAGGAAACCTGAACTCGGGGGTCTCAGACCACTTGCCAGCAGACTGGCAGAATTTGTCAAGATGAGAGAGAATCTGATAGTCACATATGTCATTTACTGACTATGGAGAATCTTGGTCAAGCTTATATTGCAGCCGAGCCATAGTGCAGATTCCTTTCAGATCTCCTCCACTACCAGACCCAGGCAGCTTCCCTTCAGAAGTCTGATAACCAAGGAGTGGAGAGCAAGTCTCTAGAATATGCCTATTCCTACCATAGGGACAGTTACACAGATACATACAGAGACCTGTCAGCATTGAGACATGTGATTATTAATGTGTGAGTTTCCATAAAGAAAGTGAGGAGTGTGGACATACAGTTGTATTCTTTTTGAAGTGAATTTGAAAGTCTAGAACAAGTGTTACCTGAATCCCTACCTGATGACAAGGGGTCAGGGATTGTGTGCATATCTTTTTGCCTTGACTACTCCTTTATTCCATACCAACCTTCTAACAATTAGAGAAACAAGCCACAACTAGGACATCCGGTGGGCCTTTTGTTTACGACACAGTTAGGCATTTTCCATTCAGGAGGTGGTTCTGCTAGCTAGAGCCTCCAAGTGCTTGTCACCAAAAATCATCCTGTTGGCCCATTTCCAGTCTTATCACAGATCACAGATCATCTGTGCCAGAATTTCCTAAGAGAAAGTAGGAGTTCCTGGGAAATAAATAGGCAGCAGTGTGCACTGGGGAGAGCAACGCACCAGGAAGGCAGCCACTCCGAACATCAGGACTCACCTCATACAGATACTGGCAGCTGGAATATGCACTGCAGGTAATTCCCATGATGTCTTCTCTCTGGGGACAGAGGAAGGAGCCATCCCAGGACTGTGTGGTACTGGCTACGGCCTGAAGTCATAGTTTGAAGAATGGAAAGGAATTGTTCCTGGGGTACTGGGTTGGAATCAGGACATTTCTGCAGTGCATAAAAATCTTCTCTTCAGCCTGTCTCTTTATGGCTATGAAAGATGTAGGTGCTATGGGCTATGCTCCTGGACAGTGAATGATGCCTGCTCTTTCTGACCCTCCACAGGGAGAAAGTAGTGAGCCCTTGCCTAGCCTGAGTGCTGCTGTAGGAGCCTGCAGGAAACAAGACTCTTACAGAGTTCTTCTGTGGAAGGTGGCATGCCTTCGCTGCTCACATCAGAGAGGAGATGCCTTGGGGGGTCAGGAGCCCCCATCCTAAATACCATGGCCAAGAAGAAGGGTTCCACCCTCTGCTAGGGAGGAGAACAAGACAGTAGCCTAGCCAGTGAGCCATATCTCCTTCACAGACTAACTTGTTTTCTGTGCCAATCATTTTGAACTACAATATTACTAAATGCTTTTCTGAAGATATGGTTGCCTCAGCCTGACAGAGGGTGAAGGCAGCTGAAGCTCCTGGCTCCTCTGTAGGCATGGCACTGGCTCAGCTGCTACACCTCCCTCCTCTGCTCTCTCCATTCTCCTCCTACACTCTTCTAGTCTTCTCTCCTCTCCCCTCCATCTTCCACTTTATTCCCTCATCTTATCTTCCTCCTCCCATCTTCTATACTACTGCCCCATTTCCCTTCCACTTTCTCACTCCTTCTTTCTTTGCCCACCTTTTCTTTTCTTCTTCCTAATATTCTTCCTTGCTTCCCCATTCCTTTAGCATCTACTCTCCCCTACAGAGCAGACAGAGGCTAAAGCTGGGTGGCCATGTTCACCATCACACACTTTCAAACATGCTCACCGCTGCAGGGGTATGTGGAGGGGAAAGCCCTCTGCATGTTCCCCACATCTGTTCCCACACCTGAGCTGAGCCAGACACTTTTGCTAGTTACGTACCTGGGCCTCTCAACACCCTGCCCACAGAGGCCTAGATGGTTTGCCACCACAGAGCAAAACGACAGCCAAAATGAAATCTGGTCCAGGTAAAATGAAATCTGGTCCAGGTATCAGAGCCTCAGACAATATTCATTTTTCTTTCCATCCGGAGGCCTCCCAAGCCCGAGGTACAAACCATCATGTGGCATCTTGACAGGAATGAAAGAACCTCTCCCTATTGCTCCTTCTAATGCCTATTCCCAGGGGTACTAGTGCTTAGATGCTGAGCTAGATATTTCCAGAGCTGCCTCTTAGTTGACCTCCACACTCCCAGAAACATGTTCTAGATTTAGCCAACGGCCTTGAGAGTTATTAGACATGTCATCTGGAGGTAAAAGAAAGCCATGAACCACTGAACTGGTCCAAGGTTCTTTTCCTGAGTCCTGACTAGAGGCTGGTAAAGGAGAGCTGGGGCACAAGAGAAAAGAAAGGGAGTTACTTGCATTCTAATGAGGCCTTATGCCAAGCTATTGAGAGAAGATGAGACATTGAGATTACACAAGGCTCGGGCCCACCACCAGGTTCTTTTCTTCTTTACTCTGTGTCCCTCGCATATCCCTTCAATTCTCTGGATACTGCTTCTCTATCACAAAAATAGAAAAATTGGTTACTGCAGTGGTACCAGAGAGAACATGCTATGGTTATGCCATCTGAGTGGCCAGAGCACCTTCCATGGAGGGTTACAGAGGCAGTAAGGATAGCAGAGTAGGGCCACAATGCAGGCCAGGTGGGAGACCTAGGATCTGGTAAGAATACCACCTCGTCCTCCCAGACTCAGAGGATCATTTCTCTTCAAACAGGAGAACAGAGAAGATGGCCTTCCTCATAGCTCTGGGGCTGTTGATGGCTGGGATCTGCCCTGTTGTCCTCTGTTACCCAGATGGCACACTGGGAAGGGACACTGCAGTCCAAGAAGACCAAGACAATGGGACACAAGTAGACAGTCTAACAGTTGCCTACAGAATCACTGACTTTGCCTTCTGCCTCTATAAGGAGCTGGTTTTGAAGAATCCAGGTGAAAATATCGTCTTTTCCCCATTAAGCATCTCTAGTGCCTTTGCCATGCTGTCCCTGGGAGCAAATAGGAACACCCTGGAGGAGATTCTAGAAGGTCTCAAGTTCAATCTCACAGAGACCCCTGAGGCAGATATCCACAGGGGCTTTGGGCACCTCCTACACATGCTCAGCCAGCCAAGGAACCAGGTGCAGATCAGCACAGGCAGCGCCATGTTTATTGAAAAGAACCTGCCAATACAAGCAGAGTTCATTGAGAAGGCAAGGGCTCTGTACCAGGCTGAGGCCTTCAGGACCGACTTCCAGCAGCCTCAAGAGGCCAAAAAGCTCATCAATGACTATGTGAGGAAACAGACCCAGGGGAAGATCAAGGAACTGATCTCAGACCTGGATGAGGAGACATCCATGGTGCTGGTGAATCACATCTCCTTTACAGGTGAGAATGGTCCCTGGCTGGGGAGTGGAGGGAGAGGATGTTGGCTGGGTACATGTGTTAACAGGCTGACCACTGGAAAAAAGATGTCCATGTCCTTGGACACACAGATGCCTAACTTCTTATTACTAACAAGTCTTAATTCTGGGGTGTTTCTGGACAATGGTTGTGGTTTCTGCTATACACTCAACAGAAACCCTGAGCTGTCAATTTAAGAGGGCTGATTTGGGTTCTGATTTAAACTCACTGACTAGCAGAATGCCGTATTTCACACATATGTCCATTCCTACCTGTTGAGAAGAAGCCATGGCTTCTACAGAGACAGGGTCCCTCAGATGGCCCACTGCAGCCTTTTCTAACATGGTCCTATAGAAGGTCTCCATCACTGCCTGAGAGTCTCTGCCCGGAAGGGCTGGGGGCTTCCTATCCTTAAGAAGCCTAACAACACTAATCTTAACAGGGAAAGCACCATGGCCCAGAGCTAATAAAGAGACCCACGGGCAGTTCCTATGCTGGACTTCTCCCCTGAGCCAGTTCTGTAATGAGCTGGACCTGGGCATAGAGAAGCAGGGACTGGCGGAAAAGCCATTAGTGAATGGGAAGTGTCAGGCAGGCAGGGTTCTGTGTTGAGTGTCTGGCAGCTTCATGGAATTTTGCTTTTGTAAAATTACTAGCCAGACAGCCTGAAAGGTCAAACTCCCCAAGGCACATTCCTGGGCCAGGGAGTCTGATGAGCCTCAGGATAGATGAAGACTCAGCTGGAGATGTTCTGAGTAACTATACTGGGGGAAAAACCCAGAGGTCCCACACCCACAGCACTCTGCCTGATGGAGGCCAGTGAGCAAGGTGACAGCTCAGAAATGTGTGTTTGACAGAAGTTATGATATAACAAGACCTGGGATGTACTTGGGATGAATTAGAGATAGCCCAGGGCAGAGGGAGAGAAGGCCTGAAGCTATAAGCAGGAGAAAATCAAGGTGGCCATGGACAGAAAAAGAGGAGGACAGAGGACAGGGGTACAGGATGTCCCCAGAGCTGCTGTGGGCTGGGGATGATGGAAGCAGAGTGCCAGTCTGAAGGATTACACTGTAGGGCATGACTCTCTCAACTCGCCCCAGGACCCAAGCTTCAAGGCTGCTTGGCTGTGAGGTGGGAATGTTTGTTTAGGCTGCTGGATCCTGAGCCCAAGAAACTAGTTCACTGCCAACTCCCATAGTGTGCCCTGATAGTGGAGACATAAACTGGGAATCTGGGATAAGTTAGAGTGAAATATCTGTGATGTGTGGAGATGGCCATTGTCCTTGAGTGAGATGAGGACTCATTACCCACATTTTAGCCCAGACTCTATGGTTTCATGACTGCTCACGATGTGTGTGAACTCGGGTTCTCTTGCTCTTTCCCCTGAAACCTGTCCTACAAGCCATTGCTTTCTAAACTGAGGTTCCTCCTGAGGAAGAAGGGATCTTTGAATCTCCCCAGGCTCCAGTCTCACCACTTTCACTCTCTTACATACTCTACCCTTAGATCCTTGACTGTGTCAGGAGCTCAGGTAGCCAGACTCTGGTTTCGAGGGTCCCGTTTCCAAACCAAAGCTCTAATAGCTTGAACAATTACCTTTTTTCCCTGTTCATCATTGCCACCCCTAAGGGACACTATGGGTAACTAAAGATAGATTTATTTCTGTCACAGCTCAGAAGCTGAACATTGTAGAAGTGGAGGTGGAGTCTTTCCGGTGCTACTACAATCTGATGAATTGTTTCATCTTCAGGCAAATGGAAGATACCTTTTAACCCTGATGACACATTTGAGGCCGACTTCCACTTGGACGAGAAGAAGTCTGTGAAGGTGCCCATGATGAAAGTTAAGGACGTGATCACACCCTACTTCTGGGATGAGGAGCTGTCCTGCTCTGTGGTGGATCTGGAGTACACGGGCAATGCCAGCGCCCTGTTCATCCTCCCTGACCCGGGCAGGATGCAGCATGTGGAAGCCAGCTTGCAACTGAAGACCCTGAATAAATGGAAGGAATCTCTGAAGCCCAGGTGTGTGTCCCAGTGCTGGCCTGGCTTTCCATCCTGCTTTTGCCCAGAAACTCAAAGTCCCTGTACCCAAGAGTCTCACTGGAGCCCATTGTGATGGTGGAGAGTCAGTGGGGGACAGGTTGGAGTTGAATTGAATTTCCCTCTGCTGTTGACAGCCCTTGGTTGTCTTGGTGCCTGAAACTACTGTGGGTTTTCATTGTTGTTCTTGTTGTTCACAAAGAAGAAGAAGAAGAAGAAGAAGCTGAGGTTTTCTCTGTCTCTAACAGGCTGTAAATTAAAAGGAGCCTTGAATGTGTCTCTGGAAGGCAGAAGGGATTTTGCTGAGATATCAGCTTTGAAAATCAGTTCAGCCCTGTGCAGCCATCTCAGCCCCTTATCAGTCATTCATTCATCATTCATGGAATGGTGACCTGAAGACCTACTAGGTGTCAAGCTCTGACTTAGATCTTCAGAGTATATCAGAGACTAAAGCACAAAAATGCTTATCCATATGGGTTTTCTTATGAATTGAAGAAGAGAGAGTGTGGGGATGAAAATACAACTAATCATTATATAAGCTAAAGATAAGAAATGTTAAGAAGAGTGTCCAAGGATGAAGAAAGCTGAAGTATGAAGCAGTGTGCAATTTTAATAAAAGGGTCATTAGGTGCTATCTATGGGCCAGCATGACAGGGGGAAAACTGCATGTTGTGGTTCCAGAAGGAGAGCATTCTCAGCAAAGGAACATCTAGTACCAATTACTGGCCTGTCTGCTGTAAACACTCTCAGGCCCTGATGGATAACTAATGCATTAGAAAGAGCAAAATCAAGTGGTCCATGTACAGATGGAAAGAGGGCTTCTCTTCAGTGAGAGGGCTGTCTGTTGAAGGGTGCCTATCAGATATTAGATGGGTTGACAGGGGCGCAGATTTCAGTGACTTGTTTCTCTTTTTTATTCTCAGGTTGATAGAGGAGCTCCACCTGCCCAAGTTCTCCATGTCCAAAAACTACAACCTGGAGGACACCCTTCCAGAGTTGGGCATCAGGGAAGTCTTCTTCACACAGGCCGGTCTCTCTGGGATCACTGGAGACAAGGAAATGAAAGTCTCTGTGGTAAGCCAAGAAACATTCAAGTGACTCACTTAGGTCCCTGAAGCTGGATGGCAAACACCATGTAGACATGTATGGGATGATAAATGTGTAGGAAAATAGCTGCATTTCTGAAATTTCTCATGCCTGGGAGAGATAAACTATAGCCTAGATACTCCTGCTGAGATCATGCAGCCAGCCCTTCCTCTTCCTCCTGGGCTGAACCAAATCCAGGGTACTATGGTTGGAAAGTACCTGCATTTGGTTTTAGACCACAATGGATACGATCCTGTGCTGCACTGTAGGGACACCCAAAATCCGCTGTAGAGCCACCCACTATCCACTGCAGGGCCAAAGCATGGCCTGCTTCAGATTCTTCACTGCAGAGCTGGGCCAGAATAGTAGCACTAAAGGTAGTACGAGAGAAGGTGCCCTAGGACCTTCATATTACATTCCTAAATGCACAGCCTGGCTATGCCTAAGGTTCTGTTCAGTGCCCACTCAGAGCCCTGGAGTCAAATCTGTACCAACAGGGTGGAGCAATCTGGGGATGTGAAACCACACCCTGTGCATTGCTGTTGTGCATCCCAAAGACTCTAGAGCAGGAGGGATGCTGAAACCTGCACTGGCTGCCAGCACACTGGCTATTCCTTGTGAGCTGTTGGGAGGATGCCTGTGGGGAAATGCCTATCACTGGCTACTCCCATCCTCCAGTTTGTAGTGAGCTTGATTCAGATTCAGGCACTGAGCAGATCCAGGGCATGCCTCATCTCACACCCTGAGTGGACTTGGAAAAACCAAGGGTAAAAGCTCATGGTAGGAACAAATAAATTCACAGGCACTTGAGGTCAGTAGCACTGCTTGTTCCAGTCTTCTTTCCTACCTTCCCTGGTTTCCAATGACTGATGGGTGTCTCTCCCCACAGGTGACCCACCAGGTTATGCTGAATGTGGCTGAGACAGGCACAGAAGCAAGTGCTAGCACAACACTCAAGTACACCTTTCTGTCTGCAAAATTGCAGCCTTCAGTTATAAAATTCAACAGACCATTTTTGTTCATTATCATTGACAGCGAACGTTCGACTATCTACTTTATGGGCAAGGTGACTGACCCAACAAAGGGCTAGAACTTCCCAAGCAATGGGGCTTCTTCCTAGGAGCCACGGATTGAACTTTATATGGGTTTCTCTCTGTATGCATTTTGGCTTCCATGCTGTGATTGGTGGTGGCATGCCTGGTTGGACAGTAACCTTGACTAACTCTCACATGCATAGGAGCCTGTGGGTGTTCAGTGTCAGGCTCCAAGTCCTCTTGGCAGCACTAGCTCATGCTTTGGAATTTTCAATCTGTCTTTATTCTTCATCACTTCTGACTCCCTCTATCTGCCTCTACCCAAAGCCGGGGCCTGACAGATAGGATCAGCTCAGCACTCTTGATGGGACAGTATAAGGTTACAGGTCAACCTATGTGAACCTCAGGCCCAGGACCAAGTAGGAACCTCCTGCCCAGTGTCTGTCTGCAGCATCTGGGAGCATCTGGTACCTAGTTCCTGCCTCACTCTTTCCCTACTCCAGGCTCTGACACCTACTGCCCACATCTGGGACACTTTTGGCGCCCTCACTCCTGCAGCTGTGTAGGTCCTGTTGGTCAAACCACCTCCTTTCCCCCTAGCATTCCTACTTAGAGCAAATGAGCCACTTTCTAAGTTCCCATCTGACCAAATTCCCATGTCAGATGGACACCTCAGCTTCTATCACCCAAAATTGAAGAGGTAGGAGCAAAGGATCAATAAATGTGTACCTGCACATAAAAGTGTCCAGCCTGTGTTCACTCACCTCCTGTTGAAGGGGTATGAGCTCTAGTGACAACAGGGCAAATGGGCCAATTTATAAGA